TCTCAATCCTCATTCTCTCTCTCTTCTTCTGCTACCGCTTCTTCTTCAACAACCTTCTTCTTTTTCTCCATCTCCTCCTATAATTCCTTCATCTTCGCCGCCTGCTCGTCTGCAATAGCCTTTAGCTTCGCCTGCTTCTCGCGCTCTTTCCTCTCTCTGTTTTCTCTCACTCAGGCGGCCATCTTTTCTTGCTGCTCCTTGCTGTAGGGGCTAGTGTCTATAACCCACTACGGGTCTCAACCATGGTGATAAGTGTACAACCGGATTAGTGGTTCCAAACCTCACCACGTAGACTCTAACCCCTGACTGACAAACCTACCGACTCAGTCTATGGACTTACATAATCCTGACAAGGACCCCGCCAACTATGGTCTCTAGCCTAGACCTAACTATGGCTGTCACTACTAGACCTGTTGCTGATTAGGAGGCATTTAAGGAGATCCCCCGAACTCCTCGGGAATTATTTAACGTCGCAGACAGGACGACGCGATCAGCAGGTCTCTCAAGCCTTCGACGGTATGTTGTGCAGCCCACAGCTTGGATTTCGAGGCCTACCGTGCCACACCGAGCAGCCCACCGGTCAGTACCGGTCCTTGGGAGGGTTTGACCTCCGGGACAGTCAAGTCGTCAGACACGGCTTTTAGCCCTACTCATCCCGTGTGGGTTTGGTCAACAAGACCCTATCCTTCATCCACAGAGTACTATCACCTAGGACAGAAGAGACTCAATGCAGAAAGAATAGACAGACAGACAGGACTCAGCAAGTACCAAGAGGTGTGTGCACATCCATAGGGCAAGGGATAGGCTGAGAGCTTGGCGAGATGTTACCAACTCCAGCTTGGTCAACATCTTGGTCAACGCCTTGGTCAACAGCCTTGGTCAATGCCGGTCAACGCTGCTATCAGCCCCGGTCAACGCTGCTATCAGCCCCGGTCAACTCCCGATCAACTCCAGTAACCGCCGGTCAACACCTCCGGTCAACCCTCCGGTCAGCTATGGCTGCCGGCTCGTCTTCCTCGGATCCCTCTTCTTCCCCTTCACCTTCCTCGCCTCCTTTCACCCCGGCTGTCTTCTTCTTCTTCTTTTTTTTTTTTTTTTTT